AACCAAACTTCCATCCTCTGTGAAAATAGTGAGTGTAGCAAGCTCTTCTAAATGCTGAGCCATCTCTCCAGCCAGTCCCCTCAGAAAAAAAAAAGACAGATAAATGGAGGAAAAGAAAGAGGAGACAGACCTTGGAGAAAATAAAAAGGTAGAAACAGAAGGTGCCACAGAATAGATACCATACACAATGGCATTGGATTCCATTGTAAAGAAAAAATTCCCTGGAAAATAGATGTATCTGGTTAGCGGATAGTGCTAATCAAGGTGACTGAAACTCAGAAAGGCAAAAAACTTCATGTCTTCCCTTAATGAAAATCATAGATTGGGAGGCGTGATCTCGCCGCGGTTCCGCGGCTGCTGCAGGCAGAGCACAGCGGGCGGGCCGGGCGACCGGCCATGGCGGGCGCCGAGGACTCGCCAGGCCGGCAGCCGGAGCTGGACGAGGACGAGACGGCAGAGGGCCGGCACTGGGGCGCACAGCACGCCGGAGCCCGAGAGTTGGCAGCGTTCTACTTGCCAGGCAAGCGCCTCCAGGAGTGGTGTTCCGTGATCCTGTGCTTCAGCCTCATCGCCCACAACTTGGTCCACCTCCTGCTGCTGACCCGCTGGGAACACACACCCCTCGTCATCCTGGGTGTCGTTGCAGGGGCTCTCGTCGCTGACTTCCTGTCCGGCCTGGTACATTGGGGTGCTGACACGTGGGGCTCTGTGAATCTGCCCAAAGTCGGGAAGGCCTTCATCCTGCCGTTCTGGGAGCACCACATTGACCCTACAGCCATCACACGGCACGACTTCATCGAGACCAATGTTGACAACTGCCTGGTGACGCTGCTGCCACTGCTGAACATGGCCTACAAGTTCCAGACCCAGAGCCCAGAGACCCTGGAGCAGCTCTACCCCTGGGAATGCTTCATCTTCTGCCTGATTATCTTTGGCACCTTCACCAACCAGATCCACAAGTGGTCGCACACGTACTTAGGGCTGCCATGCTGGGTCACCATCCTGCAGGACTGGCAGGTGATCCTGCCAAGGAAACACCATCGCATCCACCACGTGGCGCCCCATGAAACATACTTCTGTATCGCCACAGGCTGGCTCAACTAACCCCTAGAGGTGATAGGCTTCTGGCGGCGCCTGGAGGACATCATCCAAGGCCTGACGGGAGAGAAGCCGAGAACGGACGACATGAAATGGGCCCAGAAGATCAAGTAGCATGTCTGGACTCTTGGTTGCCAACCTTCCCGAACCTGAACTGAAGCCATCTGCCAAATCCCGGCATCTCTGAGCTACTCCTCCAGTGAAGAGAAGTCCCCTGGGCTGGGCCCGGGCGCCCTAGCCCACCCCCAGTGACACAGAATACTTGAGCCACCGAGTTTTCATTTCCTCTTCTTTTCTTTCCTTGGGCCTTTCTGGCCACTGAGCTGCTCCAAGGCCAAGCCTGACTGCAGAGGGGAGCCTGGTCCTGCTGGCTAGCTCCATCCTGTGCATCTGCTCTTCACACCTGCTCCCTGGCCGGTGTAGGGTCACTGACACACGTGGTCTGTCTCAGTGGCCCAGAGAGCCCCCAGAACACGTAAATGTCCCTGGATCATGATCCTCCGTCAGCCCTGCAATCCGACCCCAGAGGCCTAGGTGGGTGGGCCACCCCAGCTGCCACCCAAGGGAGGCAGAGCTGGGTATGGGTCAGAGGGCAGATGGCAAGGAGAGGCCGGAATGTCCTGCCCACATGCAGATACTCTCTTTCCCTTCCCCTAGTTCTTCTGTCCATGTGTCCAGCCACATCTGAGGTCTCCCTGTGGAGACATCTTCATGGGCACAGCTCTTATGAAGGGCTTGGTCATTTGGGGAGGGGACACTGTGTCCCTTCTGACCAGAGAGTGTCAGAGGAGGAAGAATAAGGCTTTTTTATTTGGATTTTTTAAGGTGCTTGCTTGTCAATGTAAATAATAGAAAGCCTTAATATCTTTCTGTAACATGGAGTAATATTTTAATGTCATGTTTTGGATGTATATAATATATTTATAACAAAGGAAGCATCTCCTTAACTCTGGTTGCCGTGTGGTGTTTCCGGATGGCTGCATGGATGGAGATAGCCCTGACCTGAGGGAGGGGGCCTTTATCCCCTGACAGAAGTGAGGTTGTCTAGATTTATGTATTTTGTGTCTTGCCTGCATGTGTGTATGTGTACCATGTGTGAGCCCAGTGCCCACAGAGGTCACAGGAGAGCACTGGAATCCTGGATCTGAAGTTACTGATGACTGAGACACTGTGGGTGCTGGGCAAAAACCAGGTCCTCTTAAGTACTCTTAACCAGGGCGCCATCTCTCCAGTCCTGAATTTTTGGGTTTTTTTTTTTGGGGGGGGGGGGGTTAAGGTAATGTATCATAGACTCAAAGTGACCTCACACTTCTTATATAACCAAGGCTTACCATGAATTCCTGATCCCTGTACCCGCCCAAGTGCCAGGATCACAGGTGTGTGCCACCATTCATCAGACCCTTCACCTAGATTGTGCTAGAGCAGTGCTGGTTGGGCTGTCCCAGAATTACTTGAGGGGTCATTGGCATCTGATGTGTGTCATGGCTCTGGCCTGGACTCAGACCACCAGACTGGCTGTGGGAGCTGATCTAGGAAAAACCGCAATAAATACCAAAAAAAAAAAAAAAGAAAGAAAGAAAAGAAAAAGAAAATCCTAGCCTGTGGTGTATGAATGAATACAAATAAACAGATGTAAGGGTGAGTGAAGCCTTAAAAAACTGCATATATGTAAATCATATACCAAAAAACAGAAAGGAAAAAAGAAAGTTCTCTGTGCTTTTCCAGAAGGGTCCATCTTCCAAAGAAAATACAGGGAGCTAGAAAATCATTCTCTTTTTTTCTATGTTTGTCTGTAAGCTTGTTTTTGGTGGTGGTGGTGGTGGTGGTGGTGGTGGAGGCAGTGGCGGTGGCGGCAGCAGTGGTGGCTGCGGTGGCAGTGGCTGATTTGTTCCTGTTTTCCCATAATATGGGTTGAGCCTAGGGCGTTGCCTATGCTTAGTCAAGTGAAATCAAGAAATTATATATCCAGCCCTAGAAACCCAATTTCTATCTGTTGCTTATCACCAATCATTTCAAAGAAACTCAGGCAAAAAATTTCTAATCTAACCAAATATAAAATAGCTATGATGATATGTAATAATCACAATTACTATTGATTTTTAAAGCCTTTATCTGAGCCTGGTGGCCCAGCACTCAGTAGGCAAAGGTAAGCAGATCTCTGTGTGTTTGAGGTCAGTCTGATTACATGTGAGTTCCAGGGCAGGCAAGGCTACACAGTCAGACCTTGTCTCAAAAACAAAACAAACAAACAAATACAAACAAAGAGAAAAAAAGCATTTATTGTAAATCTGTCTACTTCATGGATTTCACAGATTTATCTTGGGTTCTTGTCATTACAGGTAATCACTGTGAATATTGTGTGTCAGTGCTGTATGCAAATCTAAACATTAGAGAATCTTCTAAACAGCTGTCAAAAAAACAGATTGGCAAATTTCAAGGCAACAATGGGAAACAAGATTCTATAAATAGAAACCATAGAAGAAATTCATCATCACAAAAAGAAAAGCCAGGGCTGGAGAGATGGTGCAGTGGTTAAGAGCACTTGCTATTCTAGAGGAGTTCAGTCCTCAGCACCATGTCAGGCAACTCACAACTGCCAATAACTCCAATTCTAAAACATCTGACACCCCTCTGTCCTCTGAAGGCATGTGTGTGCATGCAAATAGACAAATAAAATAAATCTATGTTTAAAGGAGAGAATAGGACTGGAGTGATGACTTGGCAATTAAGAACCCTGCTCACTCCTCCAAAGAACCTGGGGTTCCATTTCCAGCATCTACATGGCTACACGCACCCTACCTGACACCTTCTCCTGGCCTCCTAGGGTACTGCTCTTGCATGGTACAAAACCATATGTGTGGGCAAAAAATACAAAAACCTGTACACACAAAATAATAAGAGAGAAAAACTAGAAACACACAGAGAAATAAATGCTAAGTGGTTATGAATAAGAATGGGTCTAACTATCTGAGAACGGGGGGGGGGGGGGGGGGGGGGGAGTATGTACCTGGAGAATTGAATGAAATGCTGTAATGCTCACACAAGCATACAGTGAGTGTCTCCACAGGTATAAAGGGTAACGAAGACTATCAAGGTAGACTCTCTTGGGTGTGCTAAATTATCAGTGATGGGTACCAGGAACTACCAAAACATTGAAGACAAGAGATTCTGAACACAGATTTTTTTTAAAAAACAACAACAGCAAAACAAAAAAACAAAAAAAACAAAAACAAACAAACAAACAAAAACAAACAAACAGATACAGTCCCGCCGAGTTAGGTAGCGGGGCAAGCTTTCAGTCCCAGCATTCAAGAGCAGAGGCAAGTGGATCCCTGAGTTCGAGGCCATCCTGGTCTACAAAATGAGTTCTAAGAGAGCCAGAGCTACACAGAGAATCCCTGTCTCAAACCCCCACTCCTACCCCACCCTCACCCCTACGCCCATCCCGTAAAAATATAACCAAACACGGTCTCACTATGTAGCCCCTGCTGGCTTGAACTGACTATATAGGCCCGGCTGGCCTCAAACTGGCTATGTAAGCCAGGCTGGCTCTGAAACTCCCAGAGATCTGCCTGCCCCTGGATGCCATAGATCAGTTCTTGAAGGACCCACCAAGACAAATAAAATGGTGCACAATGACCCTGCGGGCTTAACGCCAGTGTAAAATGGAGGAAACTGAAACTGTAACAAAAAAAAAAAAAAAAAAAGTACTGCTTGCGCAAGCTTCCGCTCTAGCCGTTTCAAATTAGATGGACAGCAGGGACCCGCCCCCAAATCTTCCCGCCTTCTCCAACGGAAGTGGAGTCACCCCTGGAAAGGAAGTTTGGGCAGGGACCCTCCTACCCAGAAGGCTTAAGGAGCATGAGGCCTGGACTAGCCGCGTACGGAAGACGACGCGCGCAAGCCAGGCAGCTCCTCAGCCCTGCGTGGCCACTTCCAGCCCCGAGCGGTACCGGCCGGCACACGGGCAGTGACCTCCAAAGGTAAGGGTGGTTTTAGAAACTTGCAAACATTTTGAAGTAGCTCTCGGTTCGGTTTGGCTTGTCTTTGCTGCTAAGTCGAGGACGCCCGGTGCAGCCCAGGCGGCCTTTGCTCGTACCTGAGCGCCAAAAGTACAGTACAGGGGTTGGAGGCGTCCGCCTCGCCAGCGGGAGGTGGGTTTCTTGGAGTCCATATTAAATTTACGTTGTATGCTCTTGTGCAGAGTTGTAGAGTTTTGTAGGACAGTTACTAGAACTCGATTTCCGCCTCTCTCCGCCAACACGTTTTGTTTTTCTTTAAAGGCCCTGATTTTTTTATTACGATGGAACAAACTTCACAGGAGGCTTTTGAGTGGGCAGGCGATATTATTGAATCTGTCCGGCAGCAGCCCCCTCCTCCGAGACTCATGTCCACTGGGGAAAAATCTCTTCATGAAAAACTGTACGACATTTATGTTGAGGAATGTGAAAAAGAGACAGAGGCAGGAGGCCTTCAAAGCAATGTCAACTTGCTAGAGAAGCTTCTGAGAAGAGAGGCGTTGCCATGTTTAGTGGTCAACCTGTATCCAGGAAATCGGGGCTATTCTCTCATGCTGAAGGACAAAAGTGGGTCGTTTTCAGAGACCTTTCAGTTGCCTTATGAAGTAGAGAAACTGCTTGAATACTTGGATGCTGAAGAGTTACCTTCTTTTCTGATTGATGTCCTGGAAAAGTCTCCTGTGAATGTTTTTCACCATGGGTGTGTCATAGCAGAAATCCGAGACTACAGGCCATGTAGTGGCATCCACCCTCCTGGGGAGCTTGGTGCAGAGCCTGCTGTGTCATCTGATGTGTCCTTTCCTGCGTCAGCTCCTGCTTACCAAACTCGGCATATTCTCTTACGTCCCACGATGCAGAGTCTAGTAAGCGATGTAGAGTCCATTACAAGTGATAACCGTCAGTGGACTGAGGAAGAAAAACTTGAGCTTGAGAGCCAACTGATTTTAGCTACAGATGAGCCACTGTGTCTGGATCCCTCTGTTGATGTTGCCTGCACAGCCAACAGACTGCTGTTTAGTGAGCAGAAGATGAACACTGACCCCGTGAAACAATGCTTCAAGAGGCCTGCATCCCCCTCTCTGGATCAACAGGAGGTGTCATCTGGGTGTGCATGTCCCACTGACCTTAGAACAATGACTCCTTTCAGAAAACAGGCAAAAATAGAGCCAGATGATCCATATGACCTGACAATTACTGAAACAGATTCATGGATGCAGGAACCCTGTGAACTGACCATGCCTTCAGAGATGGATATGCAGACATATATTAACGAGGTTCCATCTCTGCTCTTAGATGATGAAGAACCAAGTGTCCTTGAAGTTCCTGAGGTAAAATATGGCTTTATGTTTGATTATGAGGATGATAGTCAGCTATGGGAAATGAATTCAAATATTATGAAGTCTCTTAATGATCCACTTTTCTCTGCTGACATGGGGCCACTTCCAGAGGACAGAATTGATAGCCATATGTATTTCCCTCACATGTCCCTGGATGATTATGCAGATGATTTCATAGCTAGGATAAGCTCTGAGCCTATGGAGACAGTGGATATGTGCCAAGGGTCTGTCCAGAGCGAAGCCAGGTGTTTAGGCAAGATGACACAGGGGTCTAGTAGCTCAGTCTGTCTTCCTCAGCCCTCCCTAGAGACAAAGCCCACAATCAGTCTGGTACCAAAGCCTACAACCAGTCTAGTTCCAAACCCCACAACCAGTACAGTGCCAAAGCTCACAACCAGTGTGGTGTCAAAGCCCAAAACCAGTGTGGTGTCAAAGCCCA